TTTTTACATAGCCATCAATTTGTGCACTAAATATCGTTAATATGTAATTAGTTAACAGCACACGTATCACAGCCTTAATCTATTTTCGCTATACACTATGGATAGTAATTGTATAATGCTTATATTTATGCTAAAGAAATAATCCACCGGACACATAAATTATAAAGATTATTATATATCACCATTTAAGACTTCCGCTTCCGGAGCGACTGAAGATAGAGTGAAAAGTGTGCGGTGCAGTAGAGAAAGTTAAGGGTGGAGGGAAGGAGTGGAGTGAAAGGGTGGAGAGTGCAAGGGAATTGTGTGGATTGAAGGGAGAGGTGGAGTGAATGAAGGGAGAGAAGGGAGATTAAGTAGGAGAGAGAAAGAGTGAGTGGAAGTGTGTGGAGAGATTGTGAGGTTAGGAAGGTAGTAGTAGGCGAGGGGAGAGAGAGGGAGGGGAATTGGGAAAAGGGCTTTGAGTATATAGACATGGAGGTGGAATGTTGGCTCGAAAACTGTGTCCAAGATGTGTGCGAGAGAGAAAGGTAGACGAGTAATGTTCGTCCTCTCTGCGCATGCGTCGATCATTCGACAGACAGAAAGGACGAAGTATCACGTGATATCGCTCGTATACCTTTCTCTCTCGCACTCCTTGCCACTCTTGGACTCGCTTGCGGCCTGCAGAGAACAAAGGCATTCCACCTCCAGGTATCTATATACTCAAAGACTGGAGTGCGTTCCGTACAGTGAGATATACACATAACTGGAGTTAGAGTCCTAGATTATCAGAGAAGCGCGACCGGTGTTACGAGTCCTGATTGGACTTGCAAATGGCCAATCATAAGATTGATTTATAGGTATTATAAATGGCTGTCGAATAAATCAATCTTATGATTGGCCATTCGACGCCATTTTTAATATTTTCTAGTACTTTTGCGATATTGCCATAAGCCGGTCGCGCTTCTCTGATAATCTAGGACTCTACACTCCAGTATGTTATATATCTCACTGATTCGAGTACGCTTCGACTACTCTAAAGAGGCATTATTTTATGGCATAATATTTTGTCCTGCTGCCTGCATTGAGCGACGATCGAAACTTTTTTGTTTTAACGCAAGCTGGAGTCTGGACATGTCAAAGATGACGATGATGGTGGTATCATCTTCGGTCTAACGTTTAATTGGGAAAGTATCGCATGATCGAATGCGAAGCAAATCGCGTGCGCCTTAACGAATTACTGTGAATTATTACTAATTGACATGAGCCGTTCAAATAGCTACAACATGGTATCTCGCAGGTGAGATTCCGCCGCGTGTGTGAGAAATAAGCAATTTTGACAGTCGTGAGATCGTCGCGATTCAAGCTATCGTGTTTTTTCATAAAACCGGTCGCAAAAATAGTTTCTCAGTTACTCGTTTTGACGATGTAAACACGCACGCTTACGTGCAGTTTGTCGGTCGCGATTATATATACACATTGATATGAAATTAATAATCTAATCGTAATCTCATAGTTTTAAATGCCCCGTCCTTCCTATAAAATGCACTATTTGTCCGTTCGCGTATTCATATTCATATATTAATTGTGAGAGTAAAGAACGTCAATCACATTCCGCGTGTGAACGAATGTTCAAATCGTCTCTCTCTCTTATTTTTACCTGGCCTTACAGGGTGCGGCATTTGTGTGCTTGTTACCATTTTTGGAATGATGACCTCTCCTTGCTCTTGCTCCTAGTCTACGATTGATATGCTGTTGTTGATCACTTAATGCATTTATAATTAATTTTTGTTTTTGTTATTAATCGAAATCTAAGGCATTTGCATAAAGACTGTTTTTAAATGTAAAAAATATAATATTCTTTTAAATCTAAAAAGTGCATCGATGGACTTCATAACTGTATTTAATCTTTTTTATAGATAGAGATTATTTGGGAGTATTAAATAAAATCAAATGATGTTAATACAGATAACAATGTAATATAAACGGTATTAATAAAATAATATTCCACTTACAGGTGGTTCCATCCCAATATTACAGGTTTAGAGGCAGAGCGTTTATTAATGGAACGAGGAGTTGACAGTTCATTTTTAGCACGACCAAGTTCCTCAAATCCTGGTGATTTTACATTATCTGTCAGGTAAACACAAAATTATATTTAAGTCATATTGAATTATGTTTAATAAAATGCAAATCATATAAATGTACTAATATATTGGATATCTTTATTTTATTTTCAGACGAAATGGTGAAGTTACTCATATTAAAATAAAAAATGCAGGAGATTTCTATGATCTTTATGGTGGTGAAAAATTTGCCACTCTTTCTGAATTGGTACAGTTTTATATGGAAAATGGTGGACAGTTACGTGAGAAAAATGGAGAAATTATTGAGCTTAGATTTCCTCTCAATTGTGCTGATCCTACAACTGAAAGGTACAAATCAGTTCTATATGTATTTTTATATAATTTAAATAAATTGTGTATTGACTCGTATTTAGAAGTAAATTAGAAACAAAAGAGAATAAAGACTAATAAAATGAGTAAACAAGAGATTATTATATGATGTTATATAAAGAGATGTTATATAAAGCTTATTCTACAATAGTCATAAGCTGTAAAAATTGATTAATTGTAATTCTTCTCATGTTCAACTATGATTGGTCAATTTTTATGGCTTACGGCTATTGTAGAATTAGGTTTAATATCATTTAATTGGACAAATTAAAGCAGGATTTTACTTAAGTCTGCTTCAGTTGCAAGTATAATTCTAATAAATGTTACATTAATCAGAAAACGTTTATCATTTGTTATAAAGATATTGGCCAGAGAAGATCTGTTTGTATTGAAATTTATACCTCTAAATTGACTTTGATCCATTGATATATTGGATTAAATTACCAAGAATTTTTTTTAAAGAAAATATGATTTCAGACAATCTTATTTCAAATGTTAGTCGCGATAAATTTTTACGGACAGATGAAAATTTTAGACTTAGAATTATATATAAAATTGACATGCTACAATTTTTAAACCATTGAATCTACATAGACTTTTTAAATCATTTACATGGGACATAATTTTATTTTAATAAAAATGTATAGTTGCTGGTTTGATTAATGTAATACCTACATTTATTGAAATTGGTATTTACAACCTTATTAAAAATGTTACGTATTTTCCGATTAAAGTAACAATATATTTATTATATTGTTAAATTAAATACTAATAATTATATCCAAACATCTTTTGTTTGCTTGTTTGATTGGCCTTTATTTCTTTTGTTTCTAATTTACATAATATTTGTGTAATATTTGATTCTTTTATGTAATTTTTTTGATATTGTTTCTTGTTAATACTATTTTAAATATTTAAACATTGGAGACGATGATATTATGGCCTTTCATTTATATTTTGAACAATAACTTTATGTTAATAATCAATAATCTAAATACTTAAAGGGATACTGATATGATGACTCTACAGCCTGTTTTACTGACAATATGTATACGATATTAATGTAGTAGTTGATATTATAGTTATGTGTAGTGATGCGTTTGTTACTATTACATTAATAACGCACACACACACGCACACACACACACACATGCGCGCGCGCACGTGCGCGTGTACGCAAAAAATTTTTGTGCACAGATTTCTCGAAAATTAGATATTTAAATGTAATTTTAAAAACTTGATGTTGTTTCTTAATGTAATTTACTAGATAATTTTGCCACCCTAATTTCGTAAGTATTAATTGCAGAGCTATCAAGTATGTTGTCGACTATTTTCTTTTTAGATGCCACATAAAGCTAAGAAATGGTAAATTAAATAAATTTTTGTTGTTGACATAAACTGGCGGTTACCTGATATGTATTAATACTTATACTTTTATTCTGAAAAGGTTTCTAAATTTTTTAAAGTAATACTTAGAAATTTTGACAAAGATTATTTTGGGGTTATTCTGTCTTCGTTCGATATTCTGTGAGAGATAAAAGTAGTAGAATATCTCCTATGTCGATTTGTTTTTGGGAAAGTTTTTTTAGTGCATTTATAAAAATGTTGTGATATTGCAAAATGGGTCAAAGAATAAAAACAGTAATGTGGTCCCCTATAAAGGTAGATTTAAAAATTGTCTTTCAAACAGTATTTTTTTTATAAATATATTTATAAAAAGAATAAAATATTGCAGAAAATATTGTAGAATACATGTAGATGTATATATGTATACATATAAACCTCTTTTGCATAGTCTGCTGTTAATACTGAATATTTATTGAAATATAACGTGAACTATAGATTATTATCAGTTATAACCTATTTATCAAATATCAATTTCAATATGGTAACTTCAAAGAAAGTTTTAGGGGGCTACATTAGCAATGTGCTATTATTTGACTTTACTCAAAATGTGTACAGTAGAATGAAATATTAAATAATGAAAGAAACACAAATTTATATATTTATATAATACTTCCAAATTTAAGAAGAATGAGGGAAGATGCATAAATTCTAAAATCTTGAAAATATTTGGAAATGCTTGAAAGTAAAAATGCATCATAGCAAATGCTAGTTATTACATATTGACATATTAGCACCTTTGCATAAAGGAGGACTACTAAACAAATAATTTTGTAAGTACTCATTAAATATTTGCTACCTAATTGCAGAGATATTAACAGGGGCTATTATATCTATAATTGCCATAATATCATCTTCTCCTTTAATATATCATGTAGTAACAGTTAAATAACTAAAGGTGGTTCCACGGCCATTTATCAGCGAAAGAAGCAGAACGGTTAATGTTGGAACGTGGGAAAAATGGATCTTTTTTAGTACGCGAGTCTCAAAGTAAACCAGGCGATTTTGTGCTATCAGTACGCACTGACGATCGTGTTACGCACGTTATGATACGATCTCAGGTTAGACTATATATATTTAATATTTTATAACATTTTATGATAACTATATTTAATATTTTATAATAATATACAGGGTGAGTGATAAAAATTTCATCACTTTCAAAAACAGTTAGGAGGAAGACGCTTATCGTCAAAATTGTAGGATAAGTAGGGAGGGGGATATACTTTGATGATCTTGAGTTGTCTTAA